TTTGTTTCCTAAAAACAATCATGCAAGACTTTTTATATAATTAAAATTATGTATAATTAACACATAATATAAAAAATTACAATGAAATAAGCAATAAATCTCATATTTTTAAGAGAAAACAGTCAGCAATCCAGTATCCAAAGTAATGAATGAAAAACTGCTACCAAAACCACATTTCTAAAAGAATGAAACTATCATCAGAAAAGCAATAACCAATCAAAATTGTGCTTTGTGAATGACATAATTCAAAATACATAAACCTCTTTGCCATTAGTTAATAAAGAGAGAGAGGTTGGGAAAAAAAAAGGAAATTCTTTCTGTTGTGCCTCGCGAGACACATACGCGTCAGAATAAAAAGATTGCGATGTACGTGTTGCGTGTATAATTAATAATATTTTATCTCATATTATCAGGACTGGTTGATCGTCGAATCTGTTTACGGAACATTTAATGTCCTGAATGGGAACAGTGAGTGCCACAGAACATAGCACAGAACATAGCTTACTGGACATAGCTTACACAGAACATAGCTTACTGGAAGCTATGTTCTGTGGAATTGTAGAACAGATGACTAAGATGCGAAGGGTTTAACTACCCTTTATTGTCCACAATATTACAGGCGCTCCCGCACTTCGGGATACAAAGACCATCCACTTGTGGTCTGAACGTAAAAATATAAGAACTACTAACTAAATTTAAATAAGAGCTAAACTTTGAATACTTTACACAAATGATTAACCCTAAGACTGGCCTTTCAGATTATTACGTATGTAGTACGCAAATTGCGAAAAACTTCAATACATCTTGGATATCACAAGTACTAAACCTCTTACCTTTAAAGGCGGACAGTAACTGATTGAAAGTTCTCATGAAATACAGTGGCAAGGAGGTTCACTTTCTCTCCATCTAATTCTGTTTTTGGCGAAAAGCCACTACTTAAATTACACTACTTAACTACAATTTAACGCGTTTATTTTAGCCGGAAGTGGAAAATAAGAGAGGACAGTAAAGTTTTAAAACAAAATAAACGTTAGTCAAAATTAAGGTTCTTACAATATTTTCAACAGTCAGCAGTCCAGTATACAAAGGATTGAATGAAAAACTGTTGCCAAAACCCCATTTATAAAAGAATGAAACTATTCAAAATAATGCTAATTTATCAAAAAGAGATGAAAATAAAAAAAATCTGATTAGAATTTTGGAAAAAAAAAAAAAAAAAAAAAATCGCTTCGAGGTGCACTGGCTCTTGTCTAGATGCACCTAAGTACCAAATTTCGTATCCCTGGGTCTATTAAGTTATGCGCAGCACGAACGAAAGACACACACGCACACACACACAGACAGACTTTTTCTTTTATTATATGTAGAGATTATGTCCCAAAATCCTTTCAAATTATGAAACAACATCGAAAAATTCAAGAAAATATTTTATTATAATCCTCCACCCCCGAAATAGTTTTAAAAATCAGTATTTGAAGAAAAACTACACCACTCTGTTTAAAACGACTCATGTTTGGTATTCAGCTCTGAATCAATAGTTGTTCAAGATTTCTCTGGGTTACCACTGATATCTAAATAACTTATGGATATTAATATTTATTCGTAACACGGTTCAACAGTTGTAAATATACTGAAATATTAGAGATAACATGAGCCCTAAAATACAGAAAAATGGTGTGAGATATTTTGTCATCAGTTTTCAGTGAATTCCCTCCAACATTGATCTACACTGAGAATGTAATTTAAAACAAGATGGATTTCATGATATTGACATTTCAGGCCACCTAATTCATTAACATACCAACAGTTTTTATCAGGATTAAAAATATAACAGCATAGCGTAGAAATATTCTCTGATCATAGCTGGCATCCAAGGAGAATTAAAGCCGTGGATCTCATCGTTGAAAAGAAATCACAAAGTGCTCCATTATGACGGCACAGATGTTGCATTAAGATTCTTAAATTAATCAAAAACAAGTTCTTCTGTGTTATCTTAAGTGCACGGAAGCACAGCTTTTCCATGTCTACAAAGGTTATAGCTTTAAACTAGATTTTTGTGATATGGCAGTTAATTTTCGTAGAGACAGACAAGTGGATCTTTGGACTTGGCTTAGCACTTGCTAAATCAAGGAAAATAAGTGAGAGCAGCAACAGGAAGAGGCCATTGGATAGATTATTTTTCCAAGCTATTTAAATGAAATCTTACTATCAATGATAGGCATGTTAATTCGCCACTATAATTCATCATATGCTCTTTCAGTATTAAGACGAACCACAGTAACATGAGCTCGCAAATAGCTGAGGGCAGGCTTTGCAGCAAATGGAAATGTAAATACGACAAGACTTCCACATATACACAAACTTTTACACACAAGAAAATGTGTTTCACCAGAGAATCATTCAAAACCACCACAGTTTACACCAGAGAATCAATCAAAATAGAATCTGGAAAATTACTTTAATTTTGCAATGTTATCATGTATCACGATTTCAAAAGAAAAATAAATTAGATTGAGTATTCTTGAAAGATGTAATTACTGAAAGAGAGAAATCAAATTTAGAAAATGGGTATTTTTTGACGATCATATTGAATTATATTTATCAATTGAAGAAACTCTTAAATCCTGACTGGCACTCAACCTATATCTTTTGCCTCTTTCTCATATCATATACTGATACAACTGAAGATTTTCTTTTACGTACGAGAATTCTTATTCATGCTTTTCGTAAAAATCAGAATGATGGTGAATGAATTGGATATGCCTGAAACTTTGTTGATAGTGGTATTTAATGCTAGAACTATATGCTTAGAAAGTGAATAACGTCCTACAAAAAACTAGTCCTAACTACGTTTCACATAAGGAAACCTATATAGCCTATCCCGCTCAGCCATCAAAAACTGATCTTGAGGCTATCTACTACCATTTTGCCACTTTAACCACTCATTCACTGATCGGTTTTTGAATAAATAAAGATGCCATTACCACACCTCGTGTGCATCAAATATTTGCACAAAGACCTCAGTACGGAGATATGTGCCTTATGTTTACTTCCAAGATCTTTAAAGAAGCTGAAAGAAGGACCTAAATCATATTGTCTTTGCTTTCTATTGAAATCATTAGACAAATAATTGATAATATGAAAATAAAAAGCCAAATAAAAATTAAAATAGAGGAGAAATTGTTTTCCATACGTATTCTTTTAGTTTCCCTTTTTCACTCTCACTGCTTGGCAGAACATTATTGTTTTAGCAAGAAATGAATAAAACAATAAGTGCAAAATATATAACAACGTCATATGAGGTGCAGTAGGCAAAATTTCATGTTTCAACATTTCAGAAAGTAGTTGCATATGAAATATATTTTTTTCTTAAGTTTTAAAGCAGGCACGTATTCTGGATCATCCCTGCGGTTGGTTACAAGTACCTGTACTTTTCAAACTCTTATCATCTTGCGAAATTTGTGAAAAATAATTTAAAATGTTTGGTTCAAATTTAGATTCCTACGTGTAGCAAGTGAAGTTGTACAAAATAAGACTTCAATTAAAGTAAGATAATGTTTATTGAGTTTGTATAGAATAACCAAACCTGAGCAAACGTATGTGAAAGCAATAAGAATCAGTTGCCTTAAATTGAACTCCCCTAATATGACATATCTAAGATATATTTTGGTAACCAACCTGAAATATTTCACAGTTTTATGAAAGAACTGCTGTTTAAGATCTACCTTTAAACTATGCAGAAATGGCGTGAAAATGATAGATTTATTACCTTAAAGTTGACATAAAATTATATCAGGAAAAGATTGAATTAAATACCACCCGTCTTTATCACCATATAATGATTCACAGCACAGTGTAATATTTGTTAAAATAAAATCGATTTTCTTTGACATTCAAAACATGTTTTAAGTCTAAAGCTGATGTTATGTCATTAAACATTTAATAAGTGTGTTTAATAAGTGTACATTTACTCTCTGTACCTAGTGAAGTTTAAATGACGCTATTTCAAATTTTGGTACTTTTGTAAGAGAGCTCACTGTATATTTCACATTTCTACAGATATATTTGGAAATATATTTCAGTTTTCATATCAAAAAAAAATTATGTAAGGATAGTAGCACTTTTTTGATGCTACTTGTCGAACAATCTTCTGTTCCGGGCTATCATTATAGAGAAAACATTCGACTGTGTCGGGAATATGCAAATTTTTGCCCATGATAACTAACAAATTTTGAATTCTGACAGCATTACTAAATACTATAAGTCTCAAATATGAAACTTTAAGAATTTTACATTTTTAACTTTTCTGAATATTTTAATGGAATATGAAGAAAATCTTGTCCTTCGGTAAATCATAAATAAAACAAAAATTATAATCTTAAAAAAATTAAGTATTTAAATTCCATTATCAGTATATATATAAGAGTAGAAAGTAGTACACGAACATTCTATATTAAGATGAGATAACGAGACTTACTATATTAAGATGATTTAGTCTGATAATTCTATTAATGAAATTCTGCTTTTAGTCTCAATTGTTTTCGTTTGACGAAATGCGCTAATTGTGTTAGCTGGATTCGAGTTTTATCACGCGTTTCCCTTGATAAATCCGCCTTAAACCTCGAGTTGAGCTAATTACCATTTATTGCAATTCTTTGAATATATTTTCTTTGTCTTTGAAATGTTTTTGATTATTTGCATGCATCATTTTAAAAGTTTTTGATTTAACTTTTATGTTTTTTCTTATCCCTTTTTGTTTTTGAAGTTTATATCGTTTTGTAATTTTTACATTAAGTTTTTACGCGATAACTTTTACTTTTTTAGTATTGTATTATTGTTTATACATGGTGTAACTAACTTTTTTACTCTGGAACTGCAGTATCAAATGTACTTTTAAGCAATAGCTTTTTAGAACTTTCCTCTTCTTTGCATATATATAGTTGATGGAAATATGGTATTTCAGCTTACTTTTTTATTATTTAGGAAATAAAACCACTTACTTCGTCATCCGGTTTAGTAATGCCAATATCTTCATCGTATTCCCTGTAAAAGAAGCATTTGATATAATATATGTTATTCAATGTAGTATTACCTAATAGATTACATACAGCTTCACAATAATGTATTATTACACAATAATTATTTTAAGTGGTATGAGTCCGCAAGAAGAGTCTTCTTTCCCTTAAAAACATGCAGCAATTATAATTTTTAACTAAAAGCGTAATTTTTGATAGAGTGATCCAGTTCACATAGCATAATTTCAGACCAAATATATCCTTCCAAGGTAAAGATGATTCTTTATGAAAAAGAACTTCTTTCACCAAAATAAAGTCGCTCTGCCAATGAATGCACTGTTTTAGAATCAACTGTAGAATAAGCGGATGAGTTCCAGTTATCGTTGTGGCTTCCAGATTAGCCAGGTTTTAAATCAGTCGAACAATCGTAGGCAAAGTGTTGGTATAAAAAGACACACTTATAAATCAAGTAGCATCTAAGCCTTCCACGTATGAACAAAGTCTATATTTCTGGAAAGGGCTATTTATCTGAAAGGGTTTACAGACAGATATTATAGATCAACGTTATAAATAATTAAACATAATGTTTCAGCAGTTTTGTGCATCATAGTGTATAACTGCGATTAATCAATTAATGACTCATCTGAATTATTTCTCTTTTTTAAGACGAATATCACATTATAATATATACAGTTTATATATATATATATATATATATGCACACACATTTAGGTTTTGAACTGCTTTTAACTTTGTATTTATTTACATTTATGTATGTTATAAATACGTTTAAACTGAATTGCCAACATATTAAAGACACCCGCTAATAATGCACATTTCGATGAGGCCCACCAGCGGCCTAACGGTTAAAGCCGCTGTACACTGGTAGTTCGGTCCGAGGTTCGAATCCCGCGAACGGGCTGGCTGCATGGGTGTTTTCGTGGTTTTCCCCATGTGTAACATTTATACGAGCCAGTTTCCCTTAGAAAGTCCTCCACGAAGGCATTCCTTCCCTTAGGCAGACAACCCTCAAGGCTTTGCCGTAATTAATTATATAACCTAACCATTTTCGATGTTGATCATAATCGATATTCTTCTGGCATAGATTCAATAAATTTCGATATCGCTGTTGAGGAATATTAGATCATGCTGATATAATGGCAGCTACTGCCGCCCAGCCATTATAGTGGCTAGTAACATAGTGATGGGCTCGGGTCCCAGTCCCGGAAAAGGCACGGTTGTAACTATTCGTCCCTTCATAAGAGGCAACAGTGGCCACCTGTTATTTGCTTCCATAATGAAATAGTCACCCTATATATAAACATTTTAGATAGTTTTTGTTTCTTTCAGAGAGATCCCATAAATTTTTCCAGTCTCTAATAAGCTTGTCATATATTATAGTACATGTCTTCTTTTTCGAATCTTGAATAAAAACCTTTTCGGTCCCAACCCCCAGGGAGGCTTCTTTCGCTAGAGCATCCACTCTCTCATTCCCATAATGACCAGTGTGAGCTTTGATCCAATGTAAATTCAAAATATGCTTCTTTCGTAGTTCTAAATATATGTATGCTTAATTTCATTAACAATATTATTCTTTTGAAAGAGGCGGGAGAGCGCCATAAAAGCAGATAAGGCATTTGAGTATAAATTAATGTAATACCCCACGGATAATTTCTTGATCCAGGATAAAGCCATTTTAATGGCCAACAATTCTGCTTGATAAACTGAATTTCTTGGTTTTAAAGTAAACGTTTTGTAATCAATTTCAATACCGTGGAGAAATACAACAAAGGCACAGTCGACGCTCTCCGCAAACAATGATACGTCTGTATAAATTTCAATTTCTCCAGCTGAAATATATTCTTTACCGTAGGATATACCGTAATATTCGCTAGGATGGCTTGAAGTCAGATCATGTTCTAAAAAAGCCTCTCTGGTAATTGCTTTATCTTCATACATTATTTTCTGTTTTATATTATATTTCAGATAAAATTTGTCATAAGTAATTTTAAATTATAGTGAGAGAAGCGGTATACCAGCCAGTAAGCACGCAACTTCTGTCGGGACTGTTCTAAATGATCTTGTAATTTCAAGTGTCCAGGCCCTCTGCAACGAGTCTAATTTCTGTCTTGTCTTGACCAGCTCCTCTGCTTGATCACCCCATGCGCCAATACCATAAAGAATTTTCGGTATAATAAAATTTTGGTAAATCAGCCCGTTTATTAGCACATCCTGAAAATAACTGCCCTTAATACCTGGAATTTCTTAGTTCATCTGCTACTCTTTAAATATCCGAATGCGCACGAGAAACGCTTTGACCATTAGTGTTTCTGACATGACAGAACCGAACCTTCTTGCACCATCAGATGTATTTTGTTGAAAAAAATCACTCAAACCTTCTTCTTACTCCTTTTCACACTAACATCAATGGATAAATATTCTTCTTAAGATAAGCGCACTTTATAAAAGCGATTCCTGGTTATTACGTCAATGACAGACTGGTCGATGTTAAAACAATGGACGTCTCTAATATTTTGGTTCCTCGGTGTAAGTACTATATATATATATACACAAGTATGTAGATACACTGCTGGTCATTAAAATTGCAACAAAATTAAGAAAAGCAAATACAAAAAAGATATTTATTGTGCGTATACAATATGGCATGAAAATAAAATCATCCAATTTGTAAGCTGTATTGGGGTTTACAGGGCTGCGAAATTAATAGAAACATCTGCCAGTCCTGGCAGCTAAAAAGGCCCTTACCCGGTTAGGCATGCAGTCGATCTGGGCTTTCATGAGAGAAACGGGCCAACTCATTCCATGCTGCTTCAAGTCGATACAACACTTTATTGACAGTGTTAGCTGAAGAGGGGTGACGGGCTACTCTCTCAGCAATCCATGACCAGATGTTTTTAATGGGTGACAGATATAGAGACCGTGCAGGCTAGGGCAGAAATCGAATACCCTGTGCATCGAGGAAGCTTAGAACAAGACGTGCGACATGTGGTCTTGCATTATCTTGTTGAAAGATGGCGTTTGGCAGGTCTCGAAATAGGATACAACCACTGGACGTAAAATGTCAGAAATGTACCGATTCTGCGTTCAAATTACCGTCGATCTGAGCTAGAGATGTGCGCGTCGTTTACCCAATGGCTGCCCAAACCATCACACCAGGTGCAGGGCCCTTATACCAATATCGAATGCAAGCAGGCGACGCGCGGTCTGCTTGGAGCCTCCAGACACGCATACGGACATCAGAATACTTCATACGGAGGAACCGGGATCGTCGATCGGCGATATCATGGAACCATACACCACACTCTTGATAAGCAACGATCCTGCCTCTATCGAACTCTCACACTTGCTGATGAACATTTCTTATTCGAGGCATAACACGGTATTCTGAGCAAACTCCGATCTTAAAAGCACTTTCCGATTGAGAAACCCACTATATAACTTTTCTTTTATGCAGTGCTTCATTTCTCCCTCCTGCGTCGTCTAAATGCTTAAAATACTAATCATTTGCATATCCCGACCTCTTCTTCCTTTCATGTGATTTTGACGTTTGAATATATATATATATATATAAAACAAAGATTTAAGCAGACAATTTAATCGCAATAAATTGCCTAAAATTTGCGCAAAAAATACAAAGTAATAAAATAATTTATTTTCTAATAGATTATTTAAAATATTATCTCCTTTTACAAAGACAGAATTGTATTGAAATGAAGTAACTGATCATTAGCATATTGACAAACTAAATCTTGAAAATATTTAAAATGTAAACATCAAAAATGAATCTTGAATAAATTTAAAATAGAAAATTTAAAAAGGCATAATTAAAAGAGAAAAGGTAATCAATAAAGCAAGTAATTATCGTCATTGACCGGAAATTAGTTGACCTTTCAAGAGGAACAAACCAACCTCCGATCAATTAACAATAATTAATAAATGCCAAGGTGTTTCTTCTTTTTGCCAAGTAAGAATTATGACAAAAAAGCTTTTTAGTAAGATGAGTTTATGTTAAATAAGTTAAGTGAGATGAATTGAAGTAAAAACGCTGTTTGGAATTCAGTAAGAAATTGGCTGTTTTAAAATCAATCTTAAAATCGTGATATATTTTTGTAAGAGTGAGTTACATTTTCTTAATTGAGAAAAATGCCCCCCCCCCGCCGACACCTTCGTGTTTGATCATATTAACTCAATGTAAACTTTGTAAAAATAATGAACACAATTAAGCAAAATATTTTTCGACTACAACACTTTTGGAACATACGCAGATCTTCCAATACTAATCCAAAGATTTGTCTTTAAATCAATTAAACTATGATATTAGTTTGTTTTTTTAAAGAAATGTTTACCATTACTTTCAATGAATCCTTATGAAACGCTATTAAAACACCTTAACTATTAAGTGGCAGCTCTACCCGACGAGACGGCTCCTCACCTAAGCTGTCCTGTAAGACAACGTATTAAATGGTAATATCTGATTAACTAATAAAAACAATTCAGGCTGGAAAAAGACGAGAAATGCATGCAGACGTTTCAGGAAGATTCCATACACATGCTTTCTGTAAAATAGTTGGCAGAGGAACTGGTTAAAAATTAACAGATGAAATAGAAATACGTTAAAAATTTTAGAAAAATTCAATTTTTGTTTGTCATCTAGTTTTAAAGAAATGATCCTTGCATTTATCGTTTGCTTGGAACTGTGATCCGCAGAATTCTAGATTTCCATATTGTTCCTTTAAGGATGCCATAACTTAAAATCAGTACTCAAAATAATTTTTAATATTATGTGGGTCACAAAATTAAAAACTACCATATTACTTCGAATTTAAGGTGCAATTTTTATTTAAATTTTTAAGACGTAAACGTGAGTGAGGCTGAAATTCAAAGAGAATATATTGACATCTCATTTTAGTTGATTTCCTACTCCCCAACAATAAGACCAATCGAATTATTAAAACAACATTTTTAAATGTTCCGTTACTAATGATTTAAATGACAATGATGCAACAA